GCGGGTCCTGCCCCCCGCCGCCCGCATCGATCCCGGCGGGAGGGGCGCGGGGGGCGCGGTGCCGCCGTCGGGCCCCGGACGTGTCCCTGTCCCTGTCGCGGCCGGGAGCCGGGCCCGCGCCGCTGCCGCCGTTTGCCCGCTCGGTCCCGAGGGAGCAACGGCCCGAACGGCCCCGCTCGGGGGCGGCTCCGTGCCCGCGGGGTGCGTGCGGTGAGCGGTGCCGGGTGGGACCGGGCGGCGGAGGTGGCCGAGCCTGTGACCCGTGTCCCCCGGGGCGCCCCCGGTAATCTCCGTGTGCCGGCAGCGGGCGGGGGAGGCGCAGGGAACGGGCCCCCGGCTGCGGGCAGGTCCCTCGGCGGTTGTGCGGCTTCGGGTCTGCAGGTTGGGGGGTTCAGAGACCCCCGGCTCCCCCGGGAGGGCGGGAACTGAGCATCCCGGGCAGCTCTGCGGGTCCCCGGCTCCGCGACAAAATCTGACATCCTGTTTTGGGGGGATGCTCTGAATAAGACATGATGCAACTTGCTTATGGCCCTGCAACCGGTCCATAGCAGAACAGGGGTCTTTGGGCTCCCGTTTCCATGTCTAGTTGTGTTCAGGGTTGGAGCAGGATTTCCACCTGTCCGTGCTGAACTCCCCGAGGGTCCTGTCCCACCTCCAGGCACAGCGCTGGGCGAGCACTCTGCCTTCCAGGGCACCGAGGCTACCTCTGGGTACAGGCAGAGCGAGCTCCTTTCTGTCTGCTCACTAGATCTTTGGATGCCTCTGAGCTTGGACCATCCCCTGGGGCAAAGTATTCATAAGATAAAATCATTCTCACTGAGGGCAAAGGATCCTCAGTGGTTTGGCCGTTAAATAATTCAGGTCAGATGAGGAGTAAAGAAAGCAGCATGAAGCTTTTGAAATAAGAAGCTCTGTGACCTGTGTGCCCATGGGGAAGGTGCCCAGTGGTCTCACTGAGGTCCAATGGACAGGGCTGAAGGGTCCAGCAAATATTTAAGCAGAGATTGATATGATTTGGAGAGACCATGGCCTCTCCTGTCCATGACTATCACCTCAGTAAAACTGTACATGTGGGTTTTCTGGGCTTGGAATAAGCCAATTAATCATTGTTAGACTCCAAAGCCCCATCTAAACTTCAAGTCATCTGCTGACTTCAGTGAGTTTTGGTTCAGTAGTGGTGTTCCAGCCTGGTTCTCCTGGGTGCAGCAGGGAATGAATGAAGGCAGCAGGCAGAGTGATGTCTTGGGATGATGTCTGACAGCAGTGTGGTGCCTTGGGGTGATGACTGGAGATGGTGTGGTCTGGTGGCAGCACATCCAGGGCCTGCACGGCAGCTCCCCGCTGGAGCTCCCCAGGGCTGCAGCTGGAAGAGCAGGTTCACCAGTGTTACAGCTCTGTCTCCAGACAGAGCAAGAACCTCCTTTTGTGGAGACTGGGAATTGTTTTCCTGGCTTTTCGACTTCTGAATAGGTGTTCCTCTTTCTCAGAGAGAGAGGAACCCAAGCGCAGCAGAGTCACTGGCCAGATTTCCTTGTCTTAAGCTTGGAGGCACCAATAACAATAGGCAGTTGTGCTGAATAGCATGATAAAGGCAGCAGTTACCTTCTGAATGCCCGTACTGGTGAGCAGATGGCAAAATTCCATTCTCCATGATGGAGCTGTACCATCTTTGGATTCGTAGGACAGGCAGGATTCACAAAGTCCTGACCTTCAGGCCTTAATGCCCAATTCCAGTTCTGCAGAAAACCGCTTTCTGATCCTCTGCTCACCTCTCTGGAGCCCTTGACACTGTTTTGTCTGGAAGTGGGATATACCTCATGATGCCTGAGGATTTTCCTCTGGGAAGGCACGGCCAGCAGCGGCCGGGTGCCTGGCAGGTCTCCCACGAGGAGTCTTTGGTCCCAAAGGGAGCAGCAGGAAGGTGCCCCTCCCTGCTGGGATGCTGAATGGGCTGGTGTGGTGAGACTTGTTCTGCCTGAAGGCTGGACCAGCCCTTCTTATTTATGTCCCCGGCAGAAGATCCATCAGCTCATCGGGGTGAGGAACGGTCTCCATCAGGGCAGGACGGTGTGTGTGCCTGGAGGGCAATGAGGTCCCGCTGTGACACACAGCACGGGCGCTGTTGGTCCCTATGACACCAGCAATCAATAACCAAAGCTTTGGTGTGCTCCTAGATTATTTCTTTGGTGAGCAGTCACTGATTTAATTGCATGGTAAATTATTAACTGTGAGGATTTGCTTTACAAAACTAATGTAGGCTGCCTACTGTGCCTTTGTCCTGATATCCTTTCCAATGAGTAAGAGAGGTGTTAAAACTCATAGTGATACACAGTGTGGGCTCCAAACACGGTGGACCTGGTTGGGTTCTTTCCAATGGCTCAATGGGTTTTGGTTCAGGCCCAAAACATTTCCTTATTTCCTCCAAATGCCCTTTTGAACTTTGAATTTAATTCAGCATTTCTGAGGACTAGTCTGCTCATAATTTAAATGAGAAAATACATGTACAGAGACTTCTTTGAAAGTGGAGTTGCTACATCACTGTGCTCTGACGGGAGTTGCATTTTAACTAGTTATATGGGCCGTGAAATATGAGATGGAAGGAAGTAAATGAAAAGGAATTGGATTGAGTTTCTCCTCGGTCTCCGTGCGCAATTGCCAGGTGATCATTTTAACTAGTTATAGTGAAATATGAGATGGAAGGAAGTAAATGAAAAGGAATTGGATTGAGTTTCTCCTCGGTCTCCGTGCGCAATTGCCAGGTGATACCATAAGTCAATACTTAGCACAACTGATGTAATCTGCTGGTTTCAAATGCATGTGCAAACAGTGGATTTAAAAAGTGATGTAGAACAGTTGCTATAGTAGCAGTGTTTAATCAACATGCATAACAGGGTAAGCTAAATTGTTTGTTTAAAGTTTAATTTATTGTTGGTAGGCTACCAGTTAGATTATTGTGAAACCTCAGATAAAATTCCTGTAAATCCATGATCTCTTTGGTTTTTTAGATTCCTTTTCTTTTTTCATTTGCTCTTTTTTTCTTGAGTTTACTTCTGTGTGTGGTACCCGAGCCTCACAATAGACATTTATCTCGAGCTGTCCCATTGGAGGATATGTGATAGAGGTACTGTGGTGTTTAAATTTAAAGCCAAAGGAAACAATAGAGATCAATCTCTTGTCGTGTAATGAAAATATATCCAGCCTAGAGATCCCTAAGGTCAGGCTGGACACATGCAATGTGTGTCTGAGTGTATGCATTTTACAAATGTGAATGGATTTAGAGTATTAAAACTTAAGCCTACTGTCACTAACTTTGTTATTCGTCCTGTTTTCCAGAGGCTGAAGTAAGATAAGGTTGGCTAAGATCTATTTAAAAATCTATCTGCTCATGGTGAATGGTTTTTGTATTCAACTCTCATATCTTAGGTACAATTTTTGGAAGATCTGGTCATTGGTAGCTGTGATGATGTAGCTCTGTTGGCTCTCCAGAGATGGATGGAGAAGGGGAAGACCTTGCTTGCGTGGTCTGGTTCTCCTCATTTGTTGGTCTTACAGTTTTTCACCAATAAATAGAAGAGAGGTGCATTTTGTTCTCTTTGGATTGTTCAATGTATGCATTAAAGACAATCTCTAGTACATAGACTCGGGAACTGGAAAAGTCTTGTGAGGTTCTTGCATTTTAATATTTGGTGCGAGCGGTTTCAGCTAACGTAAGGGGACTGGAGAAAGCAGTTTTTGTGTTAGGTACCAGACAATAGTGGTGGAGAGCTGGCAACGAGCACCACAGGAAAACTCCTCTGTGTGAGTGAAGTTGGACAGGTGATGTGCCTAAAGAATGTCCTCTGGGGGTCCCTCCCCACCCAAGTTATTCTTATGGGTCTTTGCAAAGGCTGCCAGGAGCTCCCTCAGTGCCAGGTCTGTCACCAGAGGAGACCTGTCTGGGGTGGCTGTTGCAGGAGGTGCTGGAGGAGCCGTCTGGGGCTGGGCTGTGTGGGACCCCGAGCCCCCATCGGGGTACACCCTTGGGTGTGGAGCTCTGTATCTTATGGAGAAGCCTTTTGTTTCTGATACGAGTCTTCCCCAGGCAACAAGATGTTGCTTTTACATAATCTAATGGGCATTTATCTGACAAAATGCTGGGCATGATTGAGCCGACAGCCTTTTGTGCAGCAAGCTATTGGTAGGTCTTTATACCTGGAGCTGCATAGTTTGGCTGTCGGGGGGATTACATGCATCTGTATTGATTTTATTTCAGGTTTCTCGCAACCTACAATAGCCTGACAGACAAACACCTGGCTGGATATTTCAGCAATGCCAAGATACGACGGCATCTTCGGAGATCAGGACTGGTGAGACCGAAAAGTTTCCTTTTCTGAGAAAAAAGAAAAGAATTTTTTTGTTTCTTTTGATATTGCACAAGTAGAAACACCGGTGGCTCTGTCGTTTGTCAGAGGTGTGTGTTGTTGTTGACAAGAATTTGAGCAGCCAGAAAAAGGTGTGAAATCCGGCGGTGCCAGACGGAAGCCCCGGGATGACGCTGGGGGTGGGTTTGTCTGAGGGCTGCTGTGGAGGGGGTTCCAGCAGGAGCCATGTGCTGGCAGGCGGTCTGGAGCCCGTACTCCATGGAGTATCAGCCTTGGGCTTCCCCTGCGCCCTCTGTAAGGGGAGGGTCTCAGTGCTGGTCTGTGTGAGCCGGGGGCAGGGGGTGGTGTGTGTGAGTGTGTGTGAGCCTCAGCATCGCCCCTGCCTCCCCCCACGACCCACTCAGGGAGTTATTGCACGTGGCCCCGTGTCGCTGCGGTGCCGTGAGGGTGTCTGTCCATCTGCTTGTGTTTCACAGCCAGGCATTTCATGGAGAGGTTTTGGTAAATTCAGAATGCTTTTTATGTTTTTACTCTTTCTGCTCTTTTACTCCTGTCTCTTTTTGCTCGTTTGGGTTTGCCTCTGCAAAACCTTTCAGTTGGCAAATGCACAGAATCACATTGATTCTCTTAGGTTTTTTAAACTGTGAAACCTAAGCGTTGTTGACTCTACTCGCTGTTTAAACAGCTTCAGTGTTATTTTTCAGAAGTGCTTAATGGAAAACTGAAGAATTTGGTAAAGATGAATGTGCTGACTATTTTTAAGAGTATTTATGCACTCCTGGTGTGACTCTGTTGAGCACAGGCAGGTGCAGCCCTCACACAGTAGGAAGGCAAGTGTTTAATTCCCCTCTGCTGACCTGGGCAATGGCCCATGAGGAGCAAGGCTGAGCCCCCTCCCGCTGCCTTCCTTTGGCTGGGGGGGCCGGGGGCCGAAGGAGGTCCCCTTGTGTGGGGGGAAGGTGAGTTCCAGCAGGGAGAGGGGAGCAGAGGGGGCAGCTCACCGGGGAGGGAAAGCAGCCCTTCTGGGAAATTGTGCTCCGCTTCAAAACATACCTCATTCTGTCTTCTCCTTTTAGTTATATTGTACTTCTTTATGGCAGATCTCAAGGAGTGGGAGAATATTGTCTGAGAAGGAATACCGGCTGAATGCCATGAAGAGAGATCAGCAGAGATATGTACAGGAGTGCCTGGCTCGGGCCATATTTCATAAGGTCCTTGACATGGAGGTACGTGTCTCCCAGCGGTGTGTAAGCCTTTCCAGGGACTTCCCTGCTGCCAGCCAGTGCCTGTTCACTCCCACCAGGCTGGGCCCTGCAGCTGTGCCCTCCTGCTCCCCTGAGGGCACGCTCCTGCTGGGCAGAAGGACAGTCGTTGTGGCTGACGTCCCCCCCATGAAGCCTCCCCCGGCCTCTCGCGGTTAAACCACAGTGTTAAAGCATCAGAGCAGACACTGTCCTGCTCACTCACTGCTCCTTGGCACTCAGCAGATCACAGGAGGATATTCACAGGGTAGTTTTCTGAAAAAAATTCTAATCAAAGCATAATAGTTTGAACATGGTTATGTATCTTATTGGAGTACAAAATTTGGGCACATTCCTGCTACGTATCAAGAATGGTGTTGGTCTCTACAACCTTACAAATGCTCAGTGGTTCCCCTGCCAGTGTTAAAACACACGGGAGGAACGCAAATGGAGTGCACCAGCAGCAGTTTCATCACAGGGCTCGGTGAGGACCAGGGAGCAGGCAAGTGATGAGCAGAACAGAAGCAAGTGTTCTTAGGCTCATTGACATCTCAGAATGTCCATTAACGAGGTTTCTCTTTCTCTTACATTGACAGCGTCACCATCAGCAGGAAATGAGAAGGAAACTTGAAAATTCCATGAAGAAGGAGAGGGTGCAGAAAATCAAGGTAGGGCTCAAGTGGTACTGGGAACTGATGGGACGGGGCAGTTTTGCCCTGTGTTAAACGACAGCCATGAGTCAGGTCAGAAAATCACTGAGCCAAGTGTCCTGTCTCTGATGCTCATGGAAAAAGTGCAAGAAACAGGCAAGTAGAGGATGATCCTGCCCCAGGTTACACCTCCCTCCTCTGCTCAGCAGTTCGGGAACTTCCATTCATGCACATGATCCCTTTTGAACCTACTGATTGTTTTGGTTCTGCAGCGTTCTTGGTTGTGGAATTTAATTCTGAGCTGTATGAAATGGTGCTTCCTTGCATTTCTGTACAATAATGAATGTATCTGCTGTCTGCTAACTCTCTTTGATGCTCCATTGTTCTCCTTATGAAAAAAGTTAATAACTGTTCCCCTCTTTCAAGACGTTTGTGGGTTTACATGCCTTTTACACATTCCTGCTCAGTTTTCTAAGTTGAAGATCCTCAGTCTGTTGAATCTTTCGTACATGAGCCATTCCAGTCTTCTCAGTACAGTTGCCTTTTCTTAACCTTTTCTAGTTCTACTGTTTCTGTTTTGAAATGAAGAACCAGAACTGGATGAATAATTTAAGATACATGTTGCAGTTCCCCCAGTAATTCTAGACTCTGCTTTTGATTGCTGCTGAGCACTGAGCTCATGCTTTCAGCTCTTTGCCTCTGCACATGGCATTCAGCAGCACCAACATGTACCTAATGAAAAGAGGTTTCAGGGGTCATCACTGTGGTGTCATGTAGGTAGAGCTCAATTCTCTAGTTCTTACAGTCATGGAAACCCCACCGAGGTCATGGTTCTTCTCCCCATGAAGTCACTTGGACTCATTTGGGAAAAGTTGTTCTCATTTTGGCTGAAATATACTCAATATCTTATTTCTTTGTTAGGAGCCTGCATACACCGAGAAGGCATTGAGTAGCTAGCTGCTTCTTAAAGCAGCTGAAAAGCAATGTCAAATCTTTTTAATTCTAAATAATCATTTATGAGCAATTCTTCAGGTAAAGAAAGGAGGAGATTTTAATGAAAAACACTGATTGCTATTGCAAAGGCATTATTTACTGACCTGGTAGAAAGTCTCCACAGTGGAAACAGTGACTATGGCGCCCCATCAAGGGACTCTGGACTTGGATAATTTTGGAACATAAACCAAATCTGCTTCCTTCGGTGAGAAGTGTAAGGGAGACGCCTGCAGATACGTGATCTCTGTCTTTGCTGCGGTGCCACACGGGCACACAGCACCCGGCCTGCAATCAGCAGTGAAACTTCATTCTCACCTCAGACCTTCAGTGGCTTCGGCTGAGTAGCTAATGTGGAAGGGAAGGAGAAAGACAGAGGATGGGCAAGGGAGGATGAGAAGCATAGCTGGCTGTGTCCAGAAGGGTGGTCAGCCCGGTGTGGAGCTTTTGAGAAGAAAAGGTAGGGAGGGGCAGCAGCCAGAGCAAGGAAGTGCCAGATGCTCTCATTTAAAAAAGAAAGAGACCTTCAACCAAACCAAGAATCAGGAGATAGGCAGGAACAGGCAGATGGGTTGAATCTGGGGGATCTGCAGCTGGAGAGGGCTGCAGGGAGATGAGTCAGAGATGGGAACAAGTCTTTTCCCTTGTCCCTCTCTCATTCTCCCTTGATTTCCTTTCCTTCCTTAACCAGGTGTTCCATCGGGTCTGGGCAGTTTGATCATCATCACTGTCCAATGACAGACGGAAGGCAAGCTCAAACATTGCTGTTAATTGTATTTAGTACCTCAGAGATGTAAATGTCTGTTCTTTTAGGTGCAACAATCCAGAAGATCAGTGGAAGGTGCTAGCTATATGCATGCCCCATTTCCACCCCTTGGGCCAAGGAATCGCTATGGGCTCCATCCTTTAGTGGCTGGAGAACCAGCTGGTCACTCCCAAGCGGTGAGTTTCACCAAGATCCCATGAGCTATAATGTGAGTACGCACAGCTGGAAGTGTGCATGTGTACCTGTGACATCCCTGCTGGGTCTCTCCAGACTCGGGCCTTGTCCTTGGTCACTTGAGGCTGATTTCCTGTTTGCAGGATTGTGTAACGGAAGAGAAACCTCGAGAAACCGATGTTGCGGGAGTGGCACATCAGAACTTGGAAAAAATAGCTTTGCTTGTGATGAATCTGCTTCAATCTTTCCCTTTTAGCTGTGTTACCACCCAGGGCTGGGCCAGCCTCAGTACAGTGAGGCAATGAGTCCTGGGGCTGGTAAAATCCTGCAAGCAATTCCTGCACTCTTAGAAAACAGAGTTGGCTCAGGCTCAGTCCAGAAGACCATGCTTTGGAGCTCTGGCTCAGAAACCTCTTATTCTCTAGTAACAGGCAGAGGAGGAATGTTAATATACTCTTGAAATGTAATGGTACTACAGTCTAAGGTCAAAGGTCTACTTTTACCTGGTTCTGCATTTCAATAGTGATAACTGGTGCAGATGGAAGAGAAACTTTGGGTCCTGACTGACCTTTTCCTCTCCATCCCATGCAGAGGGCACCTGCACCTGCAGTTGGTTATACTGGTGGACATCCTTCTCAGCAGCACCAGGCCAAGGAGCCAGCCTTTTCTAAGATGGTGAGATAACTCAGTTAAATAGCATTTTTAGGTTTTAACATTTTAATTTGGTATTCTGAATGATATACAGGGAAAAGATGAGATTAAAGGAAGCCAGAAAAATGCTGAGTATTGAAGGAAAGCAGGCATGCTTATGTCGTGTGTTCTCTCGGTGTCCATGTGCTGAGGCCCTCAAAACGCCCCACGCTGCCAGAGTTCCTACGAGTTCATTATGTTTGCTTCAGGGCTGCACTGTGAAGAGAGTAGCAAAACCTAGATTTATGCCCAAGAGTTATTCTGGATGCTCCAGTTTTTGGATGCTTAATGAGACAGACATGCCCAAATGGTCTGGCTCTCCAGGGGCAGACTAGAAAATTTCATTTCCTGAAGGCACCTGAGAATCACTCATCACTTCCAAATATCTTGATAAGTGCTATTTTTAATTTTTTTTCCCTTTATGGTGTGGAAACCATACACAGATTTCGTAGCTGTTTGCTTTTCCCTCTTCCAGACTTCCTGGCGACCCAATACAGCCCCAGGACACATGCAGCGCCCGCCTCGCCTCCAGCCCCTTCGCTGTGCTGCCGCGGGGTCTGTACCAAAGGCTTCCAGCTCCAAACACAAGTGCCACGCGCTTGGGAATAGCCAGCAGTTTGCCAGTGAGGTGAGGCCATATTTCATCCTGGAAATCATATAATTTTAGAGACTGCTTTAGTAGTGTAATTCCCAGAACTGTATGCTGCAGAGGCAACATGCCTACCAAATGTTATCAGCTTTTATTTAAACTCTTCTTTTCAGACTCCCCTGAATTTTCAAGACATTTTCGTACTGCTCTAATGCCCAGCTGTTGATCACAGCCAGGAAAATGTGGTGGCTTCTCTCTCATATTATGAAATCTCTCTGCATGCAAGGTTTTCTGCTGCTAAATAGATTTTCTGTTAGGTGGAGAGGGCGGCAGCCACTCGGTTGATACCAATTACTCAGGAATATTTTGACATGGTCTTAGAAGTTTTCATTTTTACCTACAGCTGCAAAGTAACAGAAAACCTAACTCCTTTTCTTTACTTCTCCTCCTAAGTCACAGTAGTGGGTTCAGAGAATGAGAGCTTTTTGGAGAAGCCAAACATGATCTTGATATATACGCAGTTGCTTTCAGGTGAGATTTGGATTGTCTCCTGTTCCAGAAGAATGTTGTGTAGTTGGTGTTGTGTTAGGAGTCCCCTGGGACTGGAGGAGTTTGAAATGGGACGGTGACCTGCCACTGGCAGGCACTGTATGCGTAGCTGCCTCCTTCTGCTCTGTATCATGGTGGCCACCATCCTTTCTCCAAGAATTTGCCAGCACTATCTATGTCTGTGCAAATTGCAGGTGATTTAAATGGTTTCTTTAATGCTCGTTATTGACAAAGCAGCTGGATCGGATCCAGAGCATGCAACGTTGGCAGAATTTACTCCCTAGAGATGTCTTGCTTTTCAGGGCCCTGGTTCTCTGTTTGTGTTTCATCCTGAAGGAGGTCTGAACCTCCCCTACAAGGGGGAAAGAAGCATTTTGAACCACATCTTGCATAATTGCTGCCAAATGACGTTACAGCTGTGGGATGGTGGCTGCTTTGGGCTGTGCTCCCCGGCTGAGCACAGCAGCGGTGCCATGGGGTGACCAGTGTCACCAGAGCTGCAGGGTCACCGGTCGTGCATGCTTTACAGTGCTGTGGAGAGCTACCAGGGTGGCATTTTCAAGCATTCTGCCTGTTGCTTTGCAAATTAAAAGAAAGGAGTTCAGCACAGAAATGTTTCCATGAACAAACCTGCAAGCCCCAAGTTAAGGAACTGTTCCAGAAGTCCGTGTGTCACGTGAAGAGCAGTCAAACCCCCCTTAGCTCAATGTGCTTGGCAGCTCTTTGTGCATAACCTGTGTCACCTGGCTACAACGCTTTTGCAGGAGGAGAGGAGCGGGTTGAGGCTCATGACCCCAGTGGAGTATGTGCCCGGCACAGCCCGGAACCAGCTCCCTGCCATTAGCAGCCACATGGTGCCGGTGCCACCACCCCCCCTGCAGAGAGGAGACCGGGACGTCAACGCAGTGAGAAACAGGGTGCCCAGGGGCAGGAGGTTCCGTCCCACCACGGCACCAAATGGCCTGGAGCAGCTTCTGACAAAGGTAAGCTCTGTCTGCTGCTCAGTTTGTCTGTATTCCTCATTGACGTATTTGCTTAGTGCTGGAAGATCTGCATTCCTAGTTTGCGCAAAGATTCACTGAATTTTTGAAAGAAAGAAAATATATAATTACTAAACTATGTCACTGCCAACCATCTCTCTATATACTAAAACACTTGATGGTTTTCATCAGCTGGGGGGAAAAAAAGTGCTCAGACAGAAAAAACGCAGCAACTCTTACTAAAAGCCTTCCATCTTAGTTAATCTGATCCTGTCTCTGACCGTATCTAGCGCCAGAACTCCAGAGGGGTGTATGACATTGAGTGTATGGAAATGTCATCTGTTACACTATAGCTCCTGCCAGTTTTGATTCCTGTAAAGGAAATTGTAGGAACCCAGGACTGGGAGGGACAATATGGGTCATTAAACCTGGTCCCTGCAATTTTGGGCAATTCAGTGCAATGGTTTTTCAGTCCAAAATACTTTCCTGCCCTTCTGTGCGTTACAAAACACTTTCCAATTTAAGAAGCTCAAGGGCTGTCTTAAAACACTGGAGGCCTCAAGTGTCTGTGGCACATACATGATCTTTGTGCTCACCCTTTGCTGGAGCTGGAAGCTGAGTGTGGTTTCTGTGTATTTCCTGCTGCAGAGTTCTGGAGGATTCCCGAAGCCCTCACCACGCAGCAATGTGTTTGTTACCATGGTCTTTCTAGGAAAAAGTGTGCATTTATCTCACGATGGCGCTGCTTACAGAGATGAAATCAAAGTCTATCAGCAGCATTGCGGAGGAGAAAACCTTTGTGTCTACAAAGGCAAGCTGTTGGAAGGAGGTAAGGATGAAGAGTCAAAGAGTTCATATTGATTCTGGCAACATCTTTTTTTTTTTTTTTTCGCTAAAACGTTGATGTGATATGGAAATGATTTCAGCTGAGCTCAGTCAAGATCTATGCATCCAGGGATTTGCCTCCACACTGAATCTGGATCTACTGTTTTGTGATGGAAACTGAGGTTACAGTTACTTTTGCAAATTATAGGAGAAGAATTTAGAGAACTGATTGAACAAAATACTCTAGCTTAGATTAGTTTTGTGTTGAGATGTGTGGTTAATAGTCATTGCGCTAATAAACTGTCCTTAAGTAGGGCTATGTGTGCCTGACTTACCATAGCACATCGTAGAATCATAGAAATGTCTAGGTTGGAAGGGATCTTTAAGACCATCAGTCCCTGTTGCTTGTTATCCAGAAGGAAAGGTACGTAGTGGGAGCCCAGTTCCCACCTCTTTTTGATGGACGCGGTTCCGTCACACCAGTAATAGGTGAATTGTGTTCTGGGAACCTGGGAAGAAGAAATGGCTGGGAGATTTTCACTTATGAGGAAGAGCGATTCCACAGATCACACCCCTCAGTCCAGCTCACAGAACCCACCCTGTTTGTGTTTGCCTGTGGGGAGGTGCTGCAGAGACCCTGGCCAGTCCCCGGAGGCTGTGGGTGTGCTGCAGTGTGCCCGTGGGTCTGCTTGGGGTGTATGTCACAGCCCTGTCCCTTGGGTGTCCCTTGGGTGTGCTCCCGTTGTCCCGAGCCCCATTCACACCTGAGAGGGAACCTCCTCTCCATAATGTGCCTCCTGTAGGGCAAGTGGCAGAGTTAGTTTTTGGAGGTGGGGGCTCCAGTCTCTGCGGCGAGCACCCACACTGACCCTGTGCTATGGTCTGTTAGTGGGCACAGGGGTGTCCAGCTTGGATCTCCTGGGTCTGAAAGAGACAGGGCTGTTGAGTGGGGAGGAGGAGGAGTTTTACCAACTAATTAATACATCTGAGAACCAAAGAACCCCATCTCCAGGGCTGGGTGTGTTGTGGTGATGCAGAGATAGAATTGCAATGGGCTGACAGCAACACATAACCTTTGTCTCTGAACCCTTTCCTCTCTGTCACTGCAGAGACCTTTCAGTTCATCTCAAAGAGACACCACGGCTTCCCATTCAGCCTCACCTTTTTCCTCAACGGGATGCAAGTGGACAGGCTGAGCTGCTGCTGTGAGTACAAACACCAGAAGCGCTCCAGGCTGGGCGGCAGACACGGGTACTTCGGGTTCCTCAATGTGGAGGGAGCATCTCCTTGCTACAGGTATGGAGACGAATACACTTTGCTCACAAGGACTTAGCAGCCCAGACTTTAGAGGGTTTATCACTTGTTTCCTCTTTATAAATCCTGCTGGCACTGCACAGCTCTGTAGAACCTTCAGTTGTCACCTTTAAGTGCAGACTGTTACTCTCCTTTGAGGAGGAACTGCATCTGTATTTGTGGAGAACCCGTGGGCTTTAGGGGGCTTCTCCAAGTGAGTCATTGTCAGTCACCTTGTTGTCCAAGTGGCAATGCAGAGGCAGATGGGAACCTGCTTTTACTGCTGCTGATGAGCTGAATAGCTCACTGTGTCTCCTGCCCTTCTGTTGCTCACAGAAAGAAAAATGCAATACTTTCCAGTTCTCCTTGTTTTTTTATAGGTGCATTATTGCAATGGGTCTGGACAAAAAGCCATCCCCTCCCAAGAGAAAGATGGAGGACCATGAGGAAAATCCTGTGGGTTCCTGGAGAGATGGAGAGCACAGTGAGCCAAATGAAAGCAGTGTTGAGCAGAAACCAAGCAAAGCTTCGTTGTTAGTCATCATACCAGGTCATGAAGCCAGTGTGGAAACTGTTGAGGATAAAATGGAGAACAAACAGGAGTACAGAAAAGAAGAAAAGGAAGAACTGTCTGATCGTGAGAGTGAAGATAGTCAGAAAGACACCAGTAAAACCGGTACAGTATTGCAAAACACACGCGGGGGATCGAAAATGGCAGAGGATGATTCTGGAGAAGGTGTGGGATTGTGGGCTTCCAACTTCACCTGGAGCATCCTCATGTGTGAGAAATGTGGCCATGGCTGTGTCGGGGCAACAAACCCAGTGGGTCTCCTTTCAGCCAAGCACCAGGGTGAGAGGGTTTTGCAAGAGCCAAGCAAGTGAGTAAGGAAGGTCTGAGAGGCTGAAACGGGAGCCTGAGGTGGGAAAGCAGGAGGAAAAGTAGGGGACAGTGAAGGGACAACAGTGGAGAAGGAGAATGGCAGCAGGGGAGGACAAGTAGAGCAGAAGGAAGAAATGAGACTGGGTGTGTGTAGGGAGAGAGTGGGTCTGAGGTGAGCTCATAGGGGAGACAGGACATGGGCACATGGGAATGGAGAGGAGATGGTGGCCTTAGGGGCAGGGGGTGGAAAAGGAGATGGAAGATGGGAGGAGCACACAGTGGCAAAATCTCAGCAAGATTCAGTGGCAGATGAACTATTTTGGTGTTTTCTCCTGTCTGTGGCCAGCAGGAGTGCGATGCTTTGTTGACCTAAGGTTCTTTCCAGCATGGTACCCTGGGCACTGCTTACCTGGTGCCTGCCCAAACCTCCAGCTTCCTCTCTTGTTCAAGACTTGTTCCCTCTTCTCCAGCTCTGCTCCACCTTTCCTGCCTTCTCTGCTCCAGCTCTGCTGGGGCCATCGTCCTCTCCCTTCACTGAACACTCCTGCTGCCAGCTGTACCTGGCCCACCTTGTCCCTCCTGAGTCCCATCTTGTCCCTGTCGACAGAGATTTAAGAAGAGAGGGGAGAGAGGCTGCCCTTGCTGGGAGTTTGCCACAGAGGTGTTTCTTGTGGCAGGCAAAGATAATATTTGTGGTGTAAAACTGGCGTGTGGCAGCTCCAACTGCATGCTCAGAAGGTGCTGTTTCCCCAGAGCCAGTGGATGGGATGGGATGGGACAGAGAGCCCAGCCCCTGCCTTCACTCACTCCTCCTGTAACACCTCTCGCAGGGTAAGCCAAATTTAGAGAGAAATTTTAATTCCTACTTCCCATTCCTATTTTAATTTCCTAATTCTGCAGTGCTAGTGCTCAGCTTCCCTGTTAGTCCCTGTGGGTGAGTGTTTGTGATCCATCAAGCCTTCTGCCTGCCAGGAGCTGGGCACCTTTCTGACAGTTACTGAAGGAGGCCTCACTTCGACAGCTCAGTTGGAATCTCAATTGATTTTTAATACAGAAACTAAATCTCCTTATTCCCTTAATTCTCATTGTCTGGGTAATTGTTTATTTGCCTAATTGGTTCTGCATCAGAAGCTCCTCATTTCTGTCCTTGGCGCTCTGTCACTTCAGTGCTTCAGAAGCCCTGATGGGAAGAAAAAGGGATGAGCAATAAAAATTGAGAGGTGAGGAGTTGTGGCCATGAGGGACAGCTGGTGTGTCAGTGGTGACAGCTCTGTCACTCTTTGCTCTGCTGGCTCCCTGCGCAGCGAGGGTGGCAGCGGTGGGACGGCTGGGTTTGGGATGGAGATGGCCGAGGGCTGGTGCCCGGGGTGTCACCCGGCGCTGCCCTGGCTGGTGGGGAGGCTGGTGACACACACGAAGGCAGCTCTGCCTGTAGACCCGGGCGGTTGTCTGTCAGGTGTTACACTTGTCAGGCTGGTGGCCTGGGACGGGATCCAGACCTTGTTGCTGTAGAAATGGTCACTCTGCCGTAAGCTTTGCTTGTCCCAGGGTTTCCCCCAGGAGCTGGAGGAGCGCGCTGAGCCGTGCCGTAACATACTCTTCCTCCGCAGCGCCCCTTGGCTGGATTGTGTTAATTCATTTACTTTGTAAGCCACTTCTTTGCTAATTAGCCATGTCAATCCATACTTTTCTTACCTTGTGCTACAATATATTACCTTTCTCCAGCTTTCTCTGTTGTATTTTTCTCCTGTAACAAGAGACTGCCTTGCATTTTATTTCTGAGTTTGCCCAGCTCTTAACTTTTCCAGTCCTTTCAGTGGCTAATGATTTTCTTTGTTTTGTTTTTAATATATCAATCATACTTGATGCATCATTCAGTAGCTTTACTACATTTTTGCTGCTCTATCTATGAAAAACATGAGACTTCTGTACAATAATGTGCTCTTATGATTCCTGTCTGTGGTCTTAGATTCTCTCGTGTCTTTAAAAAGATTGAGCAAATGCCAAGGCAAAAGGAGATTAATGAAGTTAACCTCTTTCTGCTTCAAAAGAACTTTATTAGTTGTGAATTCTGTTTCCTGTCTCACAGTATGATTCTTTTATTTAGAGTATGATGAAGATTTTGAGGCAGATGAAGAAGTTAATGAAGTGGGACAGACTGGTGACCAAATGAATGGAATGTCAAAGTCATCCTCAGATGATAAACTTCATAATTTAGACTATGAAAAAGAGAGTAAAACCTCATCCCCGAACGCACTGCAGGCCTCCGACAGTGAGAAGGAGCAAAGCGATGGATATTCCGACAGCGACTCCGAGGATGATAAACGAGGTGGGTGTGTTTCGTCAGGAGGGCTAGGGGGGTTGACCTGGTGCATGTTTTACCTTTTGTGTGTCTCCCGTCCGTATGTTGAGGCTGCACAGGAAAACCCACTCAGTTCCTACCAAGTTGAGAAAACATAGCTGTTTTGTCTGTCGATAATTCCACCCACGTGTGCCAGCTCCCAGCGGGCTCTGCGCAGAAATGGAGATGGAGCCAGCTGGCAAATGAGCTGTAGGGGCTCAGGGCAGGTCAGCACTGGGTGCCAGTGGTCACTGAGGTCCCTGGGGCTGTGGCCACTGGCACCTGCTGAGCGTGTGGGCTTTTATCTGGGACATCGCCAGGAGACCCAATGTACCACACTGTGTTTCAGAAGTGCTGTCTGTAACAGCCCCGGCTGGTCCCCAGCTGAGCTCTGTCCCCTGGTGTGTCCCCAGCTCTGCCCTGGCCGGGAGGACGCGCCGTCGGCTCAGCGGTCCCCTGTCCCCACCGCAGTGGGAGCCAGCGAGGGTCCGTGTCCGGGTCTGGCTGAGAGCGAGTGAGGGTTAGGGGCAGGAAGGTGGGCTGTGGTTCTTGATGGAAACATAGCTACAAAAAAGTGTGCTGAAAGATTAAACTGTTTTAGAATAGCTTTTTGTAGAATAAGTAGCGTTTTCTGCCATTCAGTCTTTGTGTCAGTGCTTTTCATGTCCAGTGTTGGATCTATTGGTCTCCACGCAGCCCCAGCCATGCGTGGTCACAAACCACCCCACAGAGACCCTGCAGGCCACCTCTCCTGTGTCAGGGTGGGATCCCGCTCCACGGGCGGTGGGTGAGGCAGGAGGGAGCTGCCTCTCCCCTCTGGCACAGTGTTTGAGTCCCTAACATTTCTCCTCCGTGGCTCTGATAGATCCTGACCTGACCTATGTACCAGGGTTTCTCCATTTTCTGCTGTTTTAGAATTAATTACTTTATCTTCCCTACATCTGACAGTCCTATTGTGCAAACTGCTTTTCAAGTCAATTGGAAACATTACTGTCACATTTGTATTTCTAGGTGAACTAAATAAAGGTAATGCAGCTGTTTGTGAAAGGGTTGCAGCTGCAAGAAAGATCCAGTCATTTTACAGAAAGTATAAAACCCAACAGAAATTCAAATCAGGTTTGGAACATCCTTGATTATGAAATCATTGCAGTGATCAAAAAGAATCTTAATTTTTGTTTTCTCATGATAATCAGAAATAGCTTGTGATTCATGAACAATCAGTACACTTAAGCATCCTTTTCTGCTTGTCAGTGCATGGCATTACGCACTTTATTGTGACTTTAATCATAGAATCCTAGAATCATAGAATCATCTAAGTTGGAAGGGACCTTAAAGATCATCTACTCCAACCATCAACCTAACTCTGACAACAAAATAAATAAGAAATAAAAATCACTAAACCATATTCCTGAGGACCATGTCAACCCGTCTTTTGAACACCTCCAGGGATGGTGCCTCAACCACTTCCCTGGGCAGCCCCTTCCAATGCTGGAAAGCCCTTTTGGTGAAGAAATGTTTCCTGATATCCAACCTAAACCTCCCCTGATGCAACTCGAGGCCGTTTCCCCTTGTCCTATCGGCTGCTCCTCAGGCGCCGGCAGCGTGTGGTGACAAGGGATGCTGTGGGTGCAGGGGGAAGGAAGGGGTGCCTGGAGGGGCCTCCACTGCTCCCTCTGCATTAAGACCTTAATGACCACCCTTATTCATCTTCGTACTTGGATGTAATAGCACTGGTTTTGTAATACATTGCGGATTAAAGGGGTAATTTAAAATACAATAAAAAATTGCAGTGAGCCTTCCTCAGCTCCACAGAGGAAGAAGAGGTGTAGAGGCTGCAGGAAGACCATGGCTGCAGGAGGAAATATTGTGGCACAGATTTGGCTCCGGTGGCTGTTCAGGTCCAAATTCTACCTCTGGCCTTTGGCTGGCAGGGGACGCCCAGGAAAAATATCAGAAAAGGGCAAGAAAGCTGTGCTGCTTCCCCAGTGTGTCCTCCCACCCCTGGAATTAGCTGGTGCCAGGGGTGGTCCCTGCTACTTATTAGGCCTAATTGGATTTTTCTTCCTTGTGTTTGACTAATGTCTTCTTGAACCCATGTCAACTCTGGACACCAGCAATGCTGTGTAGCAGCGACCTCTTCTGTTTGCCTAAATGTTAGATGAAGAATTATTGCTTTTTTTCACCCCCCTCCCTCAAATTTTCCATTTATGAATTTAGTGTGATGGTCCCTGTATGTTTTTTCAGAGGAGAGAGTGAACTTCATCTCCAGTTCAGTTTGAATGGTTTGCACGTGATTTTGGAGACCTTTTCATATTCACTGTTGCTATGGTTGAAATCCTTTGTCAAATGGGGCTCAAGAAACTACTCTAAACCCTGTCTGAGTCACATTTAGAGATGCTTTTGGAGGTGTACTTCTGTGTGATTGATGGGGCTAATCTGGTTCATTTCCATTATCAGAAAAAAATATCTTAAATGGCTTTGATTTTAACACTTTGATACCTCTGGGCAATGTTCTATTGCAGTTACTGGGGTTTTGGCACAATACCCTCAGATGGTGTAATTCAGAGAATGATCTCAGATGGGCCGGTGAATGCAGGTGTTTTGGTGACAAATACTGAAACAGAATTCTGTTTGCTATTTCTAGACGGGAGGGCTGCACACTCTGTCTCATCCATCAGCACCCAGTACAGCAGTGACAGTGACTCCGATGCTGAAACGATGGAAGACGACGTTAAGGGCAAAGAGGAGCATAACATCAGACTGGCATCTGATGATGTAGAACATGCATCTGCATCTGCAGAGCTGCTCAGAATGGAGGAAAATCAGGAAACTTTTACACTGGAAAAGGAAGGAATAGATGAAACAGAAAAGGCAGAAGCAGAAGATCTAACAGTAAGGGAAGATACTGGAATTTTTGATGAAAATATAATGGCAATAGAGCGGCAAAGTCCTGAAGTTCCTGAGGAACTCAAACAGGCTGGGTCAGGAGAAGGTGACATCAGGGAAGACAGGGAGAAGAATGCGAGTGCCAGGAGGGATGACGGGAAGGAAAGTCTTCTAGTGCCTTTGGAAAGTGATGTGATGCAAGGGGAAGACAGCAATGAAGGGTCTCCTCGGGGTGACGGTGAAGGTGGTGAGTACAGTCCCCCTGTAGAGCTGTGGGTGACCAGTTCCTGCAAGTGTGGCTGCCTTTGCCGTTGCCCTGGGCCGCGGTGCAGCACGGGGGGTGCAGCTGAGGGGCTGTTCTCGGGCTGCTGGAGCCCCCTGTGCTGCTGTGGGCTGAGCAACCACCCACAGTCTCACCCTGCTTTATTGTCCCCGTTCCAGTGTTTCCAGGAAAAGGCTTTGGCTGTTTTTTTTTACTCCAGTAGTTTGGTTTCATGTATCATGCAATTATTATAAAATCCAAACGTGGTTTATTACTATGGGAGACCCTGGGGGACTCTGTAATGTCAAAAGACTAGGTTAAAAAAGAACACCAAAAATCACTGTGGGAATCGTGGCGTGGCAGATGAAGATCACAACTGTCAGTTGATCCCTGGTTGTGTTGCTTCACTCTGTCGTGGCTTCCTTGGCAAGGTACAAATCAGTCAGTTGTGTGACACCTCATTTTTACTGTTGATGAAATGGGCATCTTGCAGTTTCAACTTTATGGGTAAAGGGCAATTAATAAAGAGGTGGCCACATGAGGAAGGCTTTGCATTATTCTAGCTGGGGAATGGGAAGAAATGTAAGCCCTTGCTTTGCAACGTCATCCAGGTGACAGGGGCAGCGTTAGACCAGGCTCTGTAAGAGAACAGTGGTCTGCATGGTGCTGGTGTAAAGGAGAGACACAAGCCACGGTAGATTAATTTCCCAGCTGCCCTTCTGTATGCTGGATTTGCAGTGGGACGTGGAGTGGTTTTCCTTTATTTTGATAGAAGTTTCTGTTTCTATGGCTTTCTGTTCGCTGCAGTGCACCTATCTAAGATAGCAGTCTCTGGAAGGATCAATTTGAACGCTGGTGCTGACTGCTTTGGGGGTCTGTTGCTGCTGGGTTACTTTGACTTGTCTTGTGCATTGCTGTCGCTTTGTTATGCCTTCAGAATGGAGACAGCAAAGACAGTAACATCATTCATCGAATGATGCTGAAGCCTTCAAAGATGTTTGCTCAAAGAGGCTGAAGCCTTCAAAGATGTTACAGCTCCTGCTACTCCAGCCCTCCAAAAGGCTGAGGGCTAAAAGCCTGTGGAGATGCCCAGAGGGCTGAAGGATCTCGGTCCTTTACTGTGACTGCAGTTGATTCTCAGTCCGTTCTTGGCCTTCCCTGGTGTTTTCACATGAGCTTCTCACTGGGGCTGGTCATTCTTACCAGCCACCCAGCCCACATTTGGATGAGGCTGGGACGATCTGCTCTGGTTCTGCCCCGGTGACTCCTCATCACACTCGGCTCGCGACAGGATTTCTCCTGGCCAGTGCTGCCAGTAACAGTGCAGAACTAACTTACCAGAGAAAATCGTATCTGCTGGAGGAAGCCAAAGGTGCAGAGTGCTCCTCTGGGGTTGCTCAGTTGCCGCTGAGGCTGGGCAGATGACAGCCGGTGGTGCGAGAGGACCTGTCAGATGGGGCTGCCTGGGATGGGCTCCTGCTGCGCCTTGTCTGGTCTTGCTGTGCTCGCTGTGACAAGGAGGTGCTATTGATCCCCAGGGAGAAGTGCTGTGAGCAGTGTTTGTGGTCCTCCCCTGGGTCTGTGTTTTGATGGACTGTCAATTCCCTTTTGTCAGCCGCTGGGCGGGCAGGAAGCTGCAGAGAACGGGGCTGCCAGGGAGTGGGACCTCGTGCCCCTCGTCAGACCGAGCGATACAGCGCAGCCAGCAGAGCACTGGGCATTTCAGCAGCACAAGGAAGGACGTGCTGCCCCTGCCTCTGCGGGAGGCAGCCCAGGGATGTCCTGCAGCAGGAACTTTTTGTCTTCTCTGCAGAGCTGAGGCGCCCGAACGATTCACACCACCTCTGTCCTGTTTGCAGAGACTTTGTCAAGACCCGGGGCCCAGGAGGAACCTTATAAATGCTCTGCTGGGACCTTCCCTGCTCCCTTCCATGGTTCCTTGCAGAGCAGAGCTTAGTGCTTCATCCAGGTGAAATGTGGCAGCAGGGGGTGAAGCCACCACTGCCCCTTAGGACACATGGCAGAGGCGAAAGGACATTCAGGCTGAGCAGGGGCTTCTGTACGACAGATGGAATGGCATTTTAGAAAGTTCCTAGCATTTCTGCTCAGAGCTGTGTGGGTGCAGGGTGCTGATGGGGTAGGAAGGATGGGGGAAAGCAAAAAGTAGGAGGAATCACAGGAGGAAGGAGAAGAAATAATAAAAACAAAAGTGAAAAAAAAAAGAAGAAAAATAACATAGACAAGGGTGAGTAGAAAGGCAGAATCAACAGCATCGAAAAAAGCAGGCTCAGAGGAAAAAGGTGGGAGAGCAGAGGGAGTGCACTGGCAAGAGAGGAGCAGGGATTTGGGAAGGGAAGAGTCCAAGGCTGTTGCAGGGAACACGGTGTCGAGTCTTCTCCTCACTGTGAGTGAGGGGAACCAACCCCCCTCCCACTCCCGGGCCTATCGGTGCCCCGACTGGCTGAAGCAGCAGGCAGGTTACATCCCATACACACAGCTACATGTATAAAAAAAAATCGGTCTCATAAGAATTGATAGTCATTTTTCTTAATAAATTGCTGGAGGGAGCATCCTGCCACAGGCGAGTACATGCGACCTGAGTACAGGGTGCCCAGAGGGACAGTGATCCACAGAAGACCTGTACAAATGGTTTGACAGCATTTCTGTGGGTTAGGTGGGCAATTCGGGTGGGAGCAGGGGTGACTCTTACTGTGCTTGTCTTTATGCAACTGATTTTCTCCTGGCAGAGCTCGTAGTAACTGCAGATGTGCCCGACGGGTCAGCCCAGGGCACATCTCCACAGCAGCCTGCGTCTCACAGTGGCAAGAGAAGATGCTCTTGTTCTTGTGTTCGAATTTCACTCATTTCATAGCTCTCCCACTCTATCTGCTGTATAATAGCTCTTAGAAAAAAATGCCTGCCCGGTCCTTTTGTCTCCCGTTGGACATGGGTCCTGTGGACTCTGAAGTCTGTGAGTTTGTCTGTGTTTGAACCTGCTGATGCTGCCGTCCCCCCAGCTCCTGTCACAGCAGGGTCACTGCCTCTGTCCTCTGCAGGCTTTATGAAGCCCAATATTTTGGGTGCCGTTATTCCATGCCCTATTGCAGAGTGGCCCAAAGTCAGCCAGTTCCTGAGTGTGGGAGCATTAGCTTTTTACTCATGGCTCCTTATTTTTATTTTCAGAGAAACTGATTTGAGGTGTTGGTTGAAAGTCAAGATGTCACATTGTGTAGCACCTCTTTATCTAGGCTGTGAGTCAAGATTCAGCCAGGAACATGTTGAGTGGTTAGTTGTGGCGATTGGTTTCCGTCTCTTTATTTTTGTATTTGAATCCAAGTCAGGATTCAGATCTTTTTTCTTGCTGGCTGAAACTCTGCTCCTCTACTCTCAGACAAAATGCTTTGTCTAAATAAAACGGCATAGACAGGGAATGACCTGGGAAGGTCATCGGTGAAGGTGTTGAAAAGTGTCCACGCTCTCACTGAGCCTTGACATAGAACTTGTCTGTGGAGGTTCAGAGACTGAAACTTGGACCAAGCGTCTCTGCAGCACCTCCACTGTGCAGGTGAAGGTGACAGTGTCTGCTCTGTGTCATGGACAGCAATAGGATAGAGGAACCTGTGGTTGTCTCCCTTACGATCTGGAAGTTCTGCTCGACATCAGTAGTGAGTACAAACAATTGGCTGCATTACTCCCTTTTGGTCAAAGCCTGGATTGTCCCAAGCTGCAGAGGAGCAGTGTGAAACGTGTCACCACTGGCACCATCCAGGCAGCAACAGGAGTTACCAGGGGTCTCACACTGACATAGCCCAAATGGAAGCTGTTTCAGAGGTGTCCCTGATGGTGGTTCCTCCTGGATGCAGTACATGGGCAGCAGAGGGCATTCACAGAAAAACCAAGTGCGAGGCTGGACTTTCTGCTGTCAGTCCATACTGGTGGTGAACTGGCAAGCTCTTTGTGTGAACGACCAAGCCCATATCTGCACCAGAAAAGGAAAGGCGTAGACAATGGATGGAACTTGAGGGGAGAAGCCTGGGTTGCTGGAGGGAAGGGCTCTCAGGGGAGATGCTGATGGGGCTGGACTCTGTATGGAGCTGCAACGCTGCTCGTGAAGAAGTTGTTTAGTATTGCTGGAGCGAAAGACTTTCATGTAATCATCCAGCGAGTCATAAAGCAAAATGGAACTGACAGCACAACCTTAACAATAATGTCAAATATATGACTTGAATGTGAAGCATCTCAATCACTGCGTTTACAGAGAGAAAATACTTCCCCACTTATTTACAGAACCACACAGGTCTCCAGTCACTTACGTCAGCGTGGGGAATTGAGGAATCATCACAACTCTAGTTGGGAGCTTAATGTAGATTTATTTTTTTTTAAAGATATTCACAGAACAATAGCAATTTAATGTCTATAAAACAATGTTGTTGCTTGTGTGTTGGACCCCCCTCAGACTGGCTGACAGCAGCAACCTCACTGTTTTGTGAAAACACGGAAGACTGCTGCTCTGCTCTGATAGATGCCTCTGCATGAATTTTCCCTTGGATTTTTAATGGTTGTCTCCATTTGGTTTTAATCTACTTTAAAAAGTTATTGTTGGTGAAGATTTACATGGCTACTATTGGGTCTGCCCTAACATTTAAAGTTCTAAACTGGGCTGAGGTAGCTGGATGACTTCTCCCCCTTTCGCTTTTTAATGTTTTCTCTTCATTGCTGCCTCTTTTGTAACTTTGTGATAGGTTCTGAAGATTGCCAAGCATTCCAGGAGGAAACAGCAATGGCAACTGGAAGTGATCTTTATGTGAATTCTCAGCCTGAACCTGGTGATTCCCGTGCAGAAGAGGGAGAGGAGAACATAACAAGTACAGAGCGTGGTGCCAGTGAAGGTGAGGTTGGCCATTGATCAGGGACATGGGTTAAATCTTCTTCATATGAAGTCTTTGTATAGAACTGTTTGCCCTTTCTCATCTAGGCTATCAAACCCTCCTCGTGCTCTTTTCTTTCCTAATTTGTATAAAATCAGGTGATGACTAGCTGGCTTCTGTAGTCATGCGTAATTAATGCTTTTTTGGCAGTTATAATGGTCCTAGGTAAAGAATCCAGGCCATGAAAGAACTGGCTGCCAGGCCAAGAAAATAGCTGTGGAAAGCAGAAATGTCGTGGGTTTCCCTTTGTTTCCAGGATGGAGCTGAGGGACGAGGAATGGAGTTGAGCTGCAGAGCTGGTCTCCATCTGTCCCCTCTTTGTCTCCCAAACTCGCCTCCCTCTTAGCACTTGGCATAATTGGCAGTGAGGGAATTTCAGCTTGGTCTTGGTTCCCTCCAGGAGTGTTTCTGGTCCTCGCAGCCCCGGCAGCTCGTTGCTGGTGACTTGGTCTGCCTGGCACAGAGCCTCGCACGTTGTACAGGGGTACTGCAGCCACCATCCTGCTGCAGCAACGAGCTGTGGTCACTCTAAATGTTAACATTCTGTTGCAAAGGAGCAACGACTCTGAAAAGAGAAGAAAATCATAGGTTAAAACTGATTTCAGACTGTTGCTCTTACATTTGCTTCTTCCATCCTCAGAGTCTAACAGCTGCCAGGAACAGGTCACATATCTTGTTTTTAAGTTGCTAGTTGTGCACTGTCTTTAGCACATTAATCCAGGTGTTCTACGTTTCACTGGTCGGCTGGGAGCCTTTTGATCTTCTTCCTCTAGGTAGTCTCAGAACATAGTCTTGTAAGGTTTGTTGTCTTTCATCCAGAAGGTGTTACAGGAGGCTGGAGGTTCCTTCTCATCTCCGGTCTGTCAGTAATTGCCTTTTTCTGAATAATTCTTTCTCAGATGAGTGATAAACAGTGGGAGATGATGGGGGCAGGACAGCCTTTGCCCAGTGTGAGAAAGGGTGGCTTGGGCAAGACATTGTTCCTTGTGTCTTTCAGTGGCACAAACCTTCTCATTTTCTCAAGAACAAGAACCCGCCATGTTGGTACCAAAGGCTGGTGCAGCAGCACCGAATCCAGGGAGGGCTTTGCCCTTAAATTCCCAGGGGACAGGAACTGACCCTGTGTTATTCCCCAGTGTGTGCATATTTTACATGAGCAACTTACCACCTATTTCTGAATTTTTGGCTGTTATTGTCAAGCTCATGGCTCTGACACACGCCCAAGCTCGCTGCAGGGCGGGCGAGGGAAGGAGGGAGATGGGTCCTTAATAATAAACCTGTAGAACAGCCTTAACACTAACACCATTCTCGATAAAACTAATGTTTTGATTATTTTTTAATAGCACCAGATGGAGCTTTCTTGGCAGAAGGGACAAGACCACTTGACGTACAGAAGGCAGCAGAACAAGTGGTAGAAGAAGGGCAGATGGTAGGGGAGAGAGAAGCTCTTGAGAAGGAAGGTTTTGTTGCTGAGGGAGGCGATGCTCGCACTGAAGAGGCAGGAGAAGACGTGGCACGGGCAGGAGACTCACTGCCCGAGGAAGACACGGTGGCTGTGCTGCAGGTGGAGGAATCCACACCTCAGGAGAGCACCATGGCAGGAGAGGAGCCCAGGGCAGCAGTGTCACCTGAGGAGCAGGAGGGAGTGATGGAGGGGACGGAGAGCGAGGCAGCACTGGGAGAGCAGGTCCCCGGGGCAGAGGAGCCAGCAGTGATGCTACTGGGCAAGGAGGAAGATGGAGTGGTGGCCCAGGGGCAGGAGGTCGCCGGGGAGGTCCCGGGGGCAGAGGAGGCTGTGGAGGAGGTCCCAGGGACAGAGGAGGCTGCAGGAGCCCCAGGGCCGGCGGTGAAGGAGGGGGTGGAGGGGGCAGAGGGGACCGTGGAGGAGGGAGGTTTTCCAGGGAAGGACGTGGTGGCAGGTGCTGTGTCTGAGGGAGAGGAGGCTGCAGAGGATGCCAGCACAGCAGGGGAAGGGATTGCTGGGGTTGTTGGCCCTGCAGGAGAGGAGCCTGTAGAGAAAGGTGTTTCTGGAGGGGCAGAGAGTGTGGAAAAGCCCGGGGCTGTCCTGGAAACATTAGGGGATATGAATGTCTGCACAGGAGAAGCGATGGTTGGAGGCGAAGACTTTGTAAAGCCAAGTGAGTTTTCCCAGCTGGAAGCATCAGGGGAAGAGCAGATGGAGGTGGGGGGAGCTGCCACAGGAGCAGCAGCCTCTGAGACCAGCCAGGCATCAGGGGCAGGAGGAGACTCTCTCCTGGGAGCAGAGGATGCAGTGCAGGAGTCTGTGGAGCCTGGGGGGGGTCCCATGTTGGAAGTAGCACCTGGATTAGAGGCACCGGTGGATGTTGAAGGGGATCCCATAAGTGAAGGGTCATCTCAGTTGGAGGAGACCACAGCAGCAGAGGAGGAGGGCTCAGCAGGAGCACTTTCGAGTGGAACCCCATCTCCGGGCAGCAGAGCAGAGACAGAGGGTGCAATGGAAGGAAAACCCGAGGTGGGGGCACTGGGAGAGTCTGCAGGGACAGGCAGAGCAGAGCCAGGAGGTGGAGGGGAGGGCCCAAGGGAGGTGACAGCTGGGATGGAGGGATGGCTGGAGTGTGCTGGAGAGAGAGGGAAGGAAAGGGCTCCCGGTGAGGCCCTGGATGCAGCAGTGCCAGCCCCAGTGCTGTGTGTGGGCCGGGGGGGGGAGGCCGGGCTGGTGGCCATTGCGGTGGTGGGCGGCCAGGCAGGGCCAGGGGCTCAGGCTGAGGGAGAGGCAGGGGAGCCAGCGGTGGCTGGGGTGTCCCCCAGGCACAGAGACCTGTGTGGAGAGGTGTCCCTCGGGGAGAAGCCGGAGTCAGAACTCCCCCACACCCCCCCCATAGAGGGGTACGCAGCAGCGGAGCCGAGGGGCAAAGGGTCTGCAGGATGCCAGGGGTCATGCCAGGGCAACCAGCCGCAGCCGATGGCTCCCGGGACAGGCACAGCAGGGGACAAGGATGGGCCACAGGAGGGGACAGAGCAGGCGGGAGTGAGAGCCGAGGGGGGACAGCCAGGGCCCTGCGGAAACACCGGGGAGAGAGAGGAGGGGGGTGTCTGGGGGGGCTCACAGGGAGCCCCAGGGGTCGCGGAGCAGAGGGAGGACAGTCCCACCGGAGGGAGCACAGCTGCCCCCAGAGCTGCCAGCGTGGGCCAGAGGAGCCGTGATCCCCATGGGGTGAGTCCTGCCTGGGTCGGCCGCTGTCCCCCAAGCCCCTTCAGGTCCCCAGGGGGGTCCCCGCCAGGGGCAGAGGATGCACCGCTTCCTCCCGCTTCTTACTCCTTCCTCAAGTATCTGCTGCTGGTGGCTGGGGATGATTAAATCCTTGTGGGTGGCAGCTTCTGCCTTCTCTCCTGTTCCCAAAATCTCCTTGTAAACCCCTTTGGTGCTGGCACTCGCAGCCCCCCATCCCCTCACACCCAGCAACCCACTCCTCTGCTCAGCACCGGTGGCAGCGGGTGATGCTCCAGGTCGGTGGCAGCGTCCCCTTCTCCGGTGACACTGGCATCTGCTTGTAGGAAACCTGTTACAGCTGTACCTCAGCAGCTCCAAGTTTAGCACGTTTTCTCTAAAGCTAACGTTTATCTCATTGTTTCATAGGACGTTGTAAACCCAGACACAGTTGTTGTGCCTTTGGTGCAGCCCCAGGATGGGGAAGAACCTCTCCTCTAAGCCTTTCCTGCGGCTCCTTCCGTGCTGGTCCAGCAACATTTCCACAAGTGGCTGTCGATTTGTGCCGGTTGGGACTGTCACTCCTCCTCTGATTTACTGCACGGGTACCACAACCATCTGTCATGTTTCACTGCAGCAGCTTCTCGGTGTGCAGCAGACAACCGAAATAAACCTGTGTGTGCCAGCCCGGGGAGCAGCTCCTCCATGACTGTGAAGACAGTAATCACCAGGATTGTTCCGCTGCTGTCGGGCTTGTTTTTCCCAAAACACGGAAAAGTGTTGGACTGGGTGAACCTCCCCTCAGCACCGTGTGCTTCTCTGGGGGAGGGAGGGGTGGAGGGTGGATGTGCCTGTTTCTGAGGACAAGGAGTGTGTCTGCACGGGGTGCCCCTGTGGGCGCCTGTCTGTGTCCATGTCCCCACTGCATTTTCGGGCGGGTGGTTGTCCCTTGGCAGCAGCCATGGCTGTGTCTGCACGGGGCTCTGGGCACATTGAGCCTTTGGTTCTGATGGGAGCACCTGGGGGGCTCAGCAGTGGGTCTCGAGGGGCAGGGTGGCCTCGCAGAGGGGTTTTGGCAGGGGGCCACCTCCCCCCGTTACAGGCAGGAGACACCACCCCACCCCCCAACTGGCTGCAGGAGCTCAGGGAGGGGGCTTCTCCTCAGGGAGCCAGAATGGTCACTGGCCACACCTCAGGGCGTTTGTGGGACTCTGGAATGTTGTTGAAAGTCACTAAATCAGAACAATTCTAACGTGTAGTTGTAAATGAACAAATCCTGGCCTTTTGCTGGCATCAGTCCTGGCTGCAGGAGGGGTGGGCCCCTCCCAGCCTGGTGCTGGCTGTGGGTCACCCTGACGGAGTGTCCCCTCGCAGCTTGGTGTCACCTCTGTGGGTCACCCTGATGGAGTGTCCCCTCACAGCTCGGGGGCACCTCCGTGGGACCCCCATGGGCTCCCGAGACCCTGCCAGGCCAGGGCTGGTCAGGCAGCATCACTGGGTGGGATGCAGGTGCTCTGCCCCGGCACCAGTCTGTGACTGCTGCTGGAGCTGGGAATGGAACTGGAACCAGCAGGAGTTCGACTGGATCGTCACTGCAAGGCACTTGGGAAGATGGAGGAGACAGAGGTAAAGGTACTTGTGCTCAAGTAATTCCTGTTTGTTCCCTGCTCTACTAAAGGCCGTTGCAGACATATTTCCAGTCTGGACACGGGGAAGTGCTTTGAAAGAGAGTGGTCGACAAACCCCCCCAGTAATAGCTTTACAGGCCTCAGTGGTTTAAATGAAAGTGTTGCATCAACTGGTCCTGAGTGGTGTGGTGGAAATGTTTATTCTGTGCAAGATATGCAATGTTTGCTAAAAAGCACACGTTTGACTTTTGACCACTCGGCGATGGTCTTTTCACTTTAACCAGGGAATGTCCATAACATCAGCAGTGGCTTACTCTTTGGGCCAAGGCGTTTTCAGTGTTGTTCAATATAAAGAAAGTGCAGTAAATAGATAATCAGTGTTTTCATGCTCTACAGCTGAATACACCGGGGTGTGAAGTGTACAGAATTTAAATTCAATGCTAAGGACCTTCTCTGGAGGTTTGGTTTTTGTGTGTAGGTGCACACCCACACAGTTACAGGGTCTATAAAACCCTGTCCTGCTCTGTGTGGCTCCTTACATCTTTGCAAATGATGTCATTGTGAGAATTACACTTGCCAATCGAGCGTGGCCACCTCGTCTGTGTTCATCTCTGCTGCTGATGGGTTGAGTGTTTGTGCTGCTGGGACTGTGTGGCACGGGTGTCTGTGTGAAGGAGGTGCCCGTGGCTGCACCAAAGCCGTTTGTGGGGTGGCACCTCCAGGGTGAGCGGGGCAGAGGGGGGGGGTCAGGGTGTGCCTGGGGGTGTCAGGGTTAGCCCAAGGTTGTGCTTGGGCAGGTCAGAGACCCCTCTGGCTCCTCTGGCAGCGTGGAGGGAGGGCTCTTCCCGTGGGGGTGGAAGGTCCCTTGAGTGAAATGCGGCATTCGGAGTGTGCGGGAGAGGGCTCCGGGGCAGCAGGAGTTGGTGGCAGCAGCAGAGGACACTCAGCTAGAGCCCCTTCAGCTCTTTGGAAGAGGCAGCAGGGGCTGGTGACCGAGGCAGCCAAACTCCAGGGTGCTCTCGGGCTGCAGGGGACCTGGGGCAGCAGGTAAGTCCCAGCTGAACAAGGTGGCAACGATAGTAAGGAGCTGGAAAGCTGACAATTCATTATTTAAAATAGTTAAAATATTTATAAATGGCACCTGTGCCTATGATTTTAACAATTAGGGAAATGAATCCTTTGGCTCATACAGGGTCTTGTATTTCTCTAAAAGCCCCACACTTCAAATACTCTGGTTTTATATAGTGACAGAAAAAAAATATATTCAAATTTCCCAAGAGCACTGCATAGTTTTTAGTAATAATCTCATAGCATGTTGATGAGATCAGGTTTTCTCTCACGCTTCTTTCCAACAGGATGGACACAGGGAGGTTTATCTGTGGTGAGGAATCAGCCCTCCCCTCCCACCCCCCAACAGCCCCCCCGATGTGCTGACGGTTCCTCCTTGTTTCGCAGGTTGGCACAGCAGGGCCGTGGTGCCACCTGAGCCTGGGACACTCTGGGGCCTTCAGGGCAACTGGTTTCTAAAGGGGTCAGAGGACTTGAACCAGATACAGAATTGAGTTGAATTTGGCAATTTCGGCTTCAGAGAACTGCTTGACTCCGTTCTTCCCCCCCCCCTTACTGCTGCTGGTGCTGCTGTTAAAGATGTACCATTTCTGTACTTTTCAAAACACACCTGCAGTCTGAGCAGGTGGAATTTTGGTAAGAAGCAAAACCATTAAAATTGATAATTTTATGGTTTTGGAAATGCTGCCCGTGGCAATTTCTGCTCCCCTACCCATTGCCAGATAGTAATTAGCTGCAAATGGAAAAAAACGTAGGTGGCACTTAGAGAAAAACAAGATGTGCACAAAAAAAAAAAAAGAGGAGACTAATTATTAAACTGAACATATGTGAGGAAAGCAAACTATCGAAGAGTGTTGCCACTGGCAAAACTCATTTTTGGCTCATCATGAAGGCTTTTTTTAACTCCCTAAGCCATCAGGTATTCTCAGTAGCTGGTCTCTGGATGCTGGTCGCGGTGCAAGCACTCGTTTGCTGTGACAGCGCCTTATTTCAATCCAGAACATCTACTACTGAGATGTTAACTTGAAACACTGCCCCAGCTCCCGGGCACCGGCTGCTCTCAGGAGCGGGGTACGAGTCCCTGGGGCGTCTCATTCTTTATCAATATTTCAATGTGCTGGGCTCCTCGGGCTTCTCTGGGAACGGCACAAACCAGTTTCAGTCCCACAAACAACTTTAGAGCATGTTCTATTCAGGAGTTTGTGTTTTTCAGAGTTTTCCTTGGTATTAATAACTGATCACTCCTATGGAACAGGCTTTCCCCCTAAGCCTGATGTTTCTTCTGTAGGGACCAATTAACTAAGACACTGTTTTCTTCAAAGAGCCAGTATTTTAATTACTAGTAAAATTATTTACAAGCAGTTGGCCTTATAAATAGCTTTTTAAACTATACAAGTTTTGCCTTGAAAAGCTTTCTCATATTTCTTTTTTGGTAGTTTCTGCCTGCCCCCATCTGACCTGTCCCGGGCAGGAATGAGTGATGTCCCCAGGAGCTCGGGTGCGAGGGGGAGCAGGGGTGTTGGTGCAACGAGCTCTGCTGCCCTGGCTCTGGTTCCCCAGCTCTAATGCAGGTGAGTGTCTGGGTCTCAGGTGTGGCTGCTGCATTAATGAAGGGTCCTAAAAAAATCCTATTGAAATGGAAACTTGGTGCTGGAACTGATTTTTCAGGTCCGATAATTGATCCTCTGTGCGTCCTGCACACTGCCCAGGGCAAAAACCAGGGAATGGGATCCAATCCCTGCCCCCCCATCCCTTCTTCACTTTATTCCCTGCCTGTGCAGGGAATGGGCTCTGCCATAACATCTGGTCAATTAGTCAGGAAGGGAATTTTCATCAATGTCTCAGACGCCCCTTCTCCTGCCTGCTCTGTGTGTCTCTCCTCACAGTGTGCCCCTTTCCGTGTCACTTTTAGTGCCAGAGAGAAGGCGGCCCCTTTCCCAGCTGCAGAGGAGCCTGGATGCTGTCCGTTGGGGTTTGCAGCGCGGCTGTTGGATGTTACAGTGGAAGGGAACAGAGCTGAGGAACCTGGATGCTGTCCTGTTGGGGTTTGCAGCGGCTGTTGGACGGTATGGTGGAAGGGAACGGAGTGACTGAGCTCGGGGTGTTGGTGACGCCGTGGAAGGGAGCAGAGTGACTGAGCTCGGGGTGTTGGTGACGCCGTGTTCGACCCGGTGGTGTGAGCAGCGCGGTCACAGCTGTGTTAGCAGCAACCTGTGAGTGATCCCAGGGGGCAGAAACACTGATTTCAGTGTGGTTTACATCCCTCTGCTGCCTCCAGGAACCAAAAATGGGAAATGATCAAGGAGGGTGTTTCTAACCTGAACACTTTCTGGCTGTTGCCCCTTTGTCGTGCTGTGGTGCCCGCCCCCGGCTCAGCTGCTGCAGGGCTAGTGCAGCCCCTGGGCAGGGCTACCTCCTGTGTCAAGCCATAAGGGCCACAAATTCTATGGCCAAGATGAGAAATATTCCTGCCAGACAAGGCCTTTGCAAACTAACAAAGCTAGTAATTGGTTTGAAGGGTCACTGTGATGACAGACAGTCCCCTTTGATCCCTGGGAAAGACAGAAGCTTCCTCCTGCTGGTTTTTGTTAACGGGCTGGGTGATTTGGGGTGGCACTGCCCGTGTCCTGACACTCACAAGGGCTAAAGCTCGGCAGGGCTGGGGTGGGGAGTTCTCTGTGGGGTTTCCCGGAGGCGCGATGAGCAAATACCCACAGAGCAACACACAGCAGCTGTGGACACGGGCTCTGCTCAGCCCATGGGACGGTCCTGTCTTTGAATCCAGTTAAGGAATAATATTACAGCAGGGTTGCTTGCAGCTAAATTTTGCTAATTTGAAAAAAGACCCCGGAAAATAACAGCATGATTAACTCTGTAATTGCTTCTAGAAGCAGCCCTATCTCCCTTTATTTTTCTTTTTTAATTTCCAGTGATCAGTAGCTGTTGCCAAGGCGGCTCAGGGCGCTCCTCTGGCTCAGCCCCTGCGCGATGCTGCTCTGCTGTGGTTTTGTTGTGCACAGTGCAACTTTGCACTGTGTTAAGATTGTCATATTTGTGACACAATTCTGCATATTTTAAGTGTGTTTCAGATGTACTTGTGTTGCCTTTTGTAAGCAAATGTCTGAGGGAAAGCTTACACTCCTTGGGAAAACGATCGCACAAACCAAGACAAGGAAGGGGATAAGAAAACTCAAGTGTCTGGAAGAGCACAACTATGATGGGCACCCAAACATCTCTTTATTCTCAGCGAGCAGGGAAGCATCCAAAGACCAGGGCTCTGAAGAGCTGCATCCATGGGCTGTCCCGGGGCACTGTGTGAGCCTGTGGTGCAGAAAGGGAGACACAGGACGTGTCTGGGGCTGCAGAGAACTTGGAAAAGAAGCCTGAGCTGCTTCAGAAGCTGGGAGCAGAATCTCCTCCCTGGTGGTGGGGAGGGACAGGCTGCTCCTCTTCTCCATGGGACCGGGGCTGGCAGCTCCCTGGCCAGGAGGGCTGGTACCCACACCTCAGTGCAGCCCAAGGTAAGAGCAGCTCATCTTGGGGCTCTGAAACTGTGACAGACGCATTTTTATTTTCATCTCTTTTAATGCTGGAGCTGGAAGTGCAGCACTGCTTGTGGACATTCACTTTGTTAGAGAACAGACACACCCCACCAAACCCCCAGCCCTCAAGCAGGTCCCAGGGAAGACGCTGGAGCAGAAGGTGTGACGGGGACATTCACCACCCACACCCGAGGCTGCTCAGGGCAGGGACCCTCGGTGGTGCAGGGTGCTGGCCCCATGGGGTGGGTGCTGTCTCCGTGGGGCTGGTGGGTCGGAGCCCTCAGCTGCTCTCCTCAAAGCTGCCGCCGCTGCTGCAGGAGTGGAACCTCATGGTGCTCATGGGGTCCGAGACGTAGCCTGGGGGTGCGGAGAGAGGCTGATGAGCAGAGCTTCCCCCCCTTCCCGGCACCGGAACAACACAAGGTGGGTATCGTTCAGGACAAACAGGCACAGACCGCGCGGGCTCCATGGCATCTGCTGAGGAGACCTTTCAACAGGAGGCAAACAGCCCCTGTTGCTCATGGATGAGTTCACAATAATCGAGCACAAAGCAGCTTTGGTGACTGACATAAAACCACAAATCTCAAAGTTTTAGTAACACAGTGGAAGTCTGACATTTAAAAAAATATCTTTTTACCCTTTAACTAGAGCTTCAGAGAGCTAAATGTAAGCTTTCTGACAAGTGTTTTCAAAATATTTTAGTCCTCGACACCACAAAAGAGAAAGCCCCTGCTCTGGTGGGCACCACGTTTCCAATGGGAGTCCTGTGCTCCTCTGGTTCTCCAGAAACAGGACTGTCTTGCCCACTTTTTGCAGAAGCAGCCCTGGGGATATAATACCCACCTTCTCCTTATTGACAGATCCACAGAGGAAAAGGACAGATCCCGCAGAGGGAAAGGGCCATCCCAGCACCGGAGCTGGACACACACGCAGCCAGAGCAGCCAAGACCTGCACAGGGTGAGCTCTCAC